TGGGCCAAAACTATTCATACAAATTTCATATAAGAGAACAAGTCTTATTTTGATTACAGTAATCACAAATGTGTGCTTGCCAAATTCAGGATATAGGTATTTTCTTGGATTTTATAGCTTACAGGGAAATGTAGCAAATTCACTCTTGCTCTCTCTCTCTTTCTCTGGGTTTGGTTCCACACGATCCTCACACATGAAGGTTGTTGGCTTAGTATTTCTGGAAACCGATTGGTTATCCAGCTTCACAGTATTTGCAAATAAGTGATTGAGAAAAAGAGAACATACCTGATTTTCCCAGCATGAATGTTCCACTCTTCTGAGATTTGTCCCAGCACAAGCTTGACTCAAAAATTATGTGATGCTCTTTCCAGGTGAGTCTGAATAGAGCTTATCTATTTATCCATCGAGGGCTGATAATTTTGAGATGAAAGCCATGCATGGGAATCAAGGCTGAAATTTCAGTCTGGTTTCTCAGATGAAGCTCAAAGGATCTCAACGGGCATGAAGCAGCATATATAATTACTATTGGGCTAGAGTTCATGGAGCTGGTTGTGCCTTTCTTCAAATTATTGTTTACATAAATTCCCCACTGTGCTAAATATTGTATATATCCAGATCACTAGACTGAGATTATAACCTTAAGTCCCAAGTCGCACTAATGTGTTTGGATGGGAACCTGTGGCTCAGAAAGATACAGCAGTCATTCTGAGTCATGGAACTCTTTCCAGCGATGAGTTCTGTGATTTAATGAAATCTGTGGTAGTGAGTCCTCTCCATTATTTTCACGATAGGGCTCCTTGGTGCCAGATGGCACATCATCCCAGCCCTGGAAGAAAATAATGCCTATGTGTGTGGGTGCCTCTCTGTCCTAGACAGTGCTTGGCAATTCCTTTTGGATAGTAGGAAGGGATGTAGCTCAGTAGATGCTCTGCAAGCAGAAGGTCCCAAATTCAATCCCCAGCATCTCCAGGCCAAGATAGGAGAAGACCCCTGACTGAAACCCTGGAAAGCTTCTGCCAATCAGTGCTGACTGTACTGGGTGAGATGAACTAATGGTTTGACTTATACCCAGTTGGGCTTTTGGTCCATCTGGCTCAATACTGGGTTTCAGGCAGATCCCACATGGGATCAGGTGGTGAAGATCTCTGGTGTAGCCCAAGGCACACATACCACTTCTTGTCTGCATCTCAAAGCATTTTCATTCTTTTCCATATCAAGGAAGCTGAATCACAGAGAAGGGAAGTAACTCACTCACAGAGTTATTTAGTTAGTCAGTGGCAAAACTGGAGATAGATTCCACCCCCCGCCCTCCACTTTGGCTGAAAATCACTATTCTTCCAAACCACTGTCTGCAGCTAAATGCTGTCATAACTTGCAATTTGCCCACAGTTATGCTTCCTCTTTTTCCCCAGACAATCTGACGTGTGTGAGGCAGAGATATGGGGTAGCGGGTGGGGGAGGAAAGAGAGAAGGCTCATCCGGTACACTTGTTGGATAAACAATATCTGAAACTGGGACAATAAGCGAGAATTAAGTCCATAATTCATGTGATTATGTTTGTTATCAGGGAAATGCCTTTTCACAGCTGGGTTTTATTCTTTCCCTCCAGCTCTCCTCCTCTTGAACCCCCCTCCTCCCTCCAAATTTGGCAGGAAGCAATTATCGGAATACTGTACTTGGCCCTCCTAGCTATTTCTCAGATTTGTGAATACAATATTGCAGAAATATTATCCCTGTGCGTACATAAAGGGCAGGAGGAAGATTGGTGGGCCAACAGGTCCTGGACACTGACATGTTTTAGATGTGCAACATTTCCATTCCCACTACTGGTACTGTGTATACAACAGACATTTAAAACATAGCACCTGATACCCCCAAAGAATCATGAGGACTGTAGTTAAGGGTGCTGGGAATTATAACCCTGTAGACTACAGCTCCCAGTATGGTGTGCACACAGCCACTGGATATGGTCATCCCAGTAGTTTTATTGTCCACCCGCAACACAGCTAGTCCTAATCCCCTGGAACTTTGGCAAGAAGGTAGGATTGTCCATTGCTGGCTCCAAAACTTGAGGAGGAGCTTTGAACAAGATTCCCTTAGTGGGGAGGGGGTCTCCGTGACACCGTGTCCTCCTTGCCACTTTCACCACAGCCCCTTTTACCCTCTCCTTGTGAGTCCAATCTGCAGCATTGCCCAGAAGGAGAAACCAAGACAAGTGAAAACTGACAGTCCTTCTTGCTCTTGATACTATTTGGACACTTAGAGAGGATAGTTGAGCAGGCAGCAATTTCAAGGAGGAGGAGCTGGGTAAGAGGGCACTGGGGTCAACAGTACATCCCCCCCCCCAGTAGGATATGGACCTAAGCAGGTACCGGGTGATGACAACCGCTGGTGCCAACTGTGTATTTCCCTCACCTTTCTCTTTTTCCTATTAGTTTTACTCATATTTATTGCTCACATTCAATGCTAACTAAGGGAAACATTTAAGCATGCATACATTTCAATGAACAGTCGTATGAAAATCAGCAAACAGGGCCCAATCCAACCTAACGGAAGCACTTTGTTATATCATTAGTTTCAATTGGAGTAGTAAACAAGTCTTTGCTGAATGGTAATTGAAATCAATGGGACCCCCTACATGATTATGTGGGGCTGGATTATGCCCACTGTTTCTCTCTCTTTGTATGTAGATGCAGCACTGGCACAGCCTGGATGAACTGCACCCTTTCTCTCAAGCCTTATAAAAAGAGGCAGACAAGTAACAAGCAAGGCAGTGGGTATATTTCATTTGCCTTATGGCTTGGGAAGAAAGCTCCTACCTATCTTGGCTGCTGCTGCAGCCATGTCTGGATCTTATTATCATGGCTGCCTTAACAGATGGAAGCAAATGACCATGCCATACTGTGACAGACAAGATGTATCTTCTCCTATGTATCCTAAGCTACACGCTCCCTCTCCCCACCTCAATCGGCTAGCAATAGCTTTATGTGCTCATTTCTCCCTCATTCACTTGACTTACTCTGCATTTAGCTGTGTTAGGAATCACTTCTCAATTCTGTTCTGCTGGCTTTGCAGTGCAACTCACCTGGGACTAATTCATCTGCTCCGATTTCATTGGTTCTAGCCTACCAGCTGCCTTTGTAAAACCAAGTAGGGTTAAGTTGTGTGACATCCCCAAGGTCCAAAGTTTAGAGAGGTTGGGTTCAGATTGTTCTGTTTTTGTGGGTGGAATTTAATTGTATATCAGCAATTAAAGTTGATTTGGCACATTTGTGAAACAAACCAGCTTCACAATACACCCCGCCAAAAAGATGACTTTCTGAAGTAAGACGAGTAATGGGAAAATGCCCTGGAAAGTGCAGGATAACAATTGCCTGATGCAATGTTATATAACTTCCCTGCAAACAAATCAGAATGAATGCTCTATAAACAGGTTGTCTGCAAGTGACCAGAGTCTTTATTCTGCTTCGTATGCTGGCACCCCAGGGGGTTACTGGTAAAATATATTTGATGGTGATCTAGTTAATCCAGCTTTACCACTGGAACTAAATGCACTTCATACAATAAAATAGAGTTTCTGCCACCACCTACAGCAGAGATTAAAACAATTAATGTGGGGAGCAGTTACTTTGGTTTAGAGATCTAGCTAGTAACTTTTCCAGCTTTCAGCCTCTAACTGGCCAACTCTCTCAAAGTGTTATTGGTGGAAGTAACTTGGTCAAAAAGACTACAGCATTAAATGTGGGTGAGATAATAAATACCATTGGATCATAGCACATAAGTATACCTGCCCAAGAAGTTAGGTTGATTATACAGCATAAACACAGAAATTGCAGTCAAGGAAATAAATGTGTGTTTGGCAGAGGAATCAAAACCCGAGCTGGGAAGCAGTGAGCCACCCAGTCTGCAGGCCCCATTGCTATGCCAGCTCTCAGCTGGCAGAATAGTCTGGTGCCAGTTTTCATGTCCCCTCTGCCTTCTGCTGTGGGATTGTTATAGGTGCATTGCATATTGGAACTTGTAATTTAATACATGAAAATAATTGGGGAGGAATAGGGGGGAAAGGGTGAGGTTGGAGTTTTTGGAGCAGGGCAGAGTTTGTTTAGTTTCGTGTTTGAGTGAGTTGCTGGAACAAAGAAACTTCAAGCATTTGTCTCTGGCATTTTGGATTTCTTATAATGCAGCTCTCTAACAAAGTTGAGCCGTTCTAGAGGCAGTGTCTTGTGCCCCAATGCAGAGCACAGGTCAAGGCAAATTCACACTTGTTCTAGCAGGACAATGCACATTTTGATAATTTGCTTGTGTCTGGAAATACCAACCAAAGGTGCTACATGGTATCTGAAATCTTTGCATTGGAGGCAATCTAACCAGTGTGAGCATAGAGTTACATGCAATATTATGCACTGTATTCCTAACTTTGCATGATAGCCTGTTGGTCAACATCCAGCATCTAACATTTCTTGGCTGTGCCTGTACCTTTAATCCCATTATGTAATTTTATTTCTTGGCCTTCTTGGCCTGCATTGCCCCTTCTATTATCCCTTTCCCATTACATGCTGTTGCCTTTGAATCTTGCCCAATCCTAAATATATGTACCTACCTTACACTGAGTCTACAAATTGGTACCAGTAGCTCTCCATGGTTTCACCAGGACTTGTTGCCTGACCCTTTCACTCAGGCGGGTCCAATGTGCAGCCCAAGGGATGACTCAGTGCCTTTTGGCAACATCTGACATGTGCACACACCCCACACAGCCCTCACGCTGCCTTTCCAAAGTCAGGTAAACAAGGCGCTGGGTTTTGGGGAAGAAGGGTTCTAGGACCCTGCCAGAGCTTTATGCCTGCTGGCTATGGGAAAGCAGTGTGAGGGTTAGGGGGTGTCATATTTTGACCTTGCACCCCACCCCCATGCATGACAAGGCAATGTGTGGCCCACAGGTTCCATGTTCAAGTACTCTTTCAGCCCAATTGGTATGAAAAGTTGGATCGCCAGACTTTAACTGAAGACGTCAGGGATTGAACCTAGACCTGCCACATGGAAAGCATATGCTCTACCATTGAGCTATAGCCCCTTCTGCTTATCTTCCTCGCCACCCATCAGCTAAGCCCTTTCTATCCATTTGAGCCACTAACAAGCCAGAGTGCACGGGAACAGATAGTGTGGTTTGATAAATAGGGGGATGGGTTGAGGCTGGTTCAATAGGATTGCTCATAGATATTTATTTTTTAGCCGAAGTCATTGAAGCTTGTAAGATCTGCCCTTTTGGTGACCCTTGTTACAATATATGGAATTCTAGGGAATTTGTGACAGGCTGGTGACATATAACTGTGGTCAGTAGGGTGAAACAGTGCCTCCCCCTGTTCTTTGCAAGCCCATAATGAATCTTGCTTTGACATTGCAAAGTTGGTGAGGCAGAAGTATCATCTGCACTCAGAGAAACCAACCCCACCACCTCTACCTTGATACAGATATGTGATCTTGAGGCCCTCGATGTTGCTTCTTTTCTACCTCCTGGTGGTTTGCTTTCCTTCGGTTTACTTTTTACATTGATATTACTACATGTTTCCTTCCCTGCTGACATTTTCCAAAATCTTGGCTTTTAACTAAGGCAAGACTGCAGAGCTTCCAGGGAAAACGTAAGAGCTCCTCTATGCATTCATTAACTTCAGTAACAAAACAGCAATGTTATATACCCAGGGAGCAAGCCCCATTGGGTGGCAGTTACTTCTGGCCAGTCATGGATAGAACTACACTGTAGATTTCTAGGCATTCAGCTGAAATTCCAAGTTTAGATTAGAACAACAATGCAAGGAAACTTGTTTCTTCACATATGAGAATGTAAAATAGCTTGGAGTTCTTGAGACTTTTATGTCATTTTCAGGAAACTTGAACACCAGCAATCCCTTTAGAGGCAATATTTGGCTGCAGGTCCTGTTTGTAGATTTGAGGTGCCATTTTCAATTAATGCAAATATGAAAATACCCTTTTTAAAACAGGTTTTATTTTCAACATGGATAAGATGGTGGGGACTTTGAATGTGATAGCGATTGGGGGACTTTTGGAATAGGAATGGTTATATATAGGCTTTGGGAAATGACCCTATGTCTTAAATTCTCCTTTTGGATTTGCTTCTGAACAAACTCGCTTAGGGTTGCCCTGCACATGTGCTTTCTCTCTCTGATGAATTCTTGCACATTTGTTTTCCAAGCATATATGATATGTGAAGGACAATCTAAAAAGCACCCAATTATCAAATATGATGGGATTAGTCTTAGAATGCCAGTTCTCAATTAGGTCATCGTCACACTGTGTCTGTGTTGATCACGGTTTATAACATGGGAGGCAAATCTGTGGCCAGCCCTCCAGATGTTTGGACTCCCAGCTGCTATCAGCCCATCATCATGGCTAAGAACATCTGGAGAGCTACAGGTTCCTCCCATCTGAGTCACAACAGGTTCCATACTGCTGCCTTACAAGCTTCAAATTCACCTTCATGATTCCTTATTTTGCTGTTGTGTTTTGAAAATTTTAACTCAAAGTGAAGTGATGGCTGCTATGACAAAGTCACCATAATGTCATTATTCGGTCCCTGTGATTGATTGTTTTAATATCATGACGGGTCATGTATGTGTGATGAATGGAAAGCCCATCACTCCTAACTCAACCCAAATTCTCAAGGGTATAATGAGCTGTGACTAAAAAAGGGGGTGGGGGCAATTAAACCTGCTTGTAAATGGTTTAGAACATGTAGAACAATTAAGTGTCATACAATCATAAGGTTTGGAAATGTGCTCAAAGGTCATCTGATCCAACCTTTTGCTGATGTAGGAAAAAGGCTGCAAAGGCTTTCCTGATAGATGGCCTTACAGCCTCGGCTTAAAAATATTTAATGAAGGAGAGTCCACCAGCTTCCTAGCATTCTGTTCTGCTGCCAAACAGTTCATACCATACCACCTAGACCTTATTTGGAGCACCAGTTTGGAGAAGGCTGATATAAGAGGTTCAGGGGTTGGAGTCACCTATCACAAGGGGACTAGGAAGAAACCCAGCAGTAGGAGCTTCCAAAGGAATAAAAGGGATTTACCGATAAATTACACCCTAGAAAGCGAAATGTATCCTATTTTCCCAAAGAAAGCAAACTCTAGTTTAATGAAGCGTGCACAGCTAAAGCACATCTAAATGTTTCTCTTGTTCCCGTTGTTATTTTTGCAGGAGATTTTCTAATTGTCTGCATACAAGACTGATGGTAGTCCATAGCATCTGTCTACTACTAACAGCAAAAATGAGAGAAAAGACTAATCATGCCTCCTGCCATCACATGGAGATTAAATGACACTTCTACAACTCCCCCCCCTTTTCAAACACCCGCTCCCGCTTTTCCTTCAATGAGAATCACAGGCATTTGAATAATAATACTATGGTCTCCATTAAGATGACAGTGGCGAAAAAATCAGCTCAAACCCTGTGATTATGCCTTCAATCTAATAATTATTTAAATACCAGATAACGCCTTTCAGACTAATTGAGGCCTTTCAGCTGCCTGTATTTGATTGCACTGCTGCATTTACTCCCTCTCAACTTCCTTTACCAAATGGGTCCAAATTGCTTTTAAAATTGCATTTATAGGCTACATAAATTACGCTGCTCTCTTCTTCCCCCATAAGCCACCCCACAGAGTGGACAGGCAGTATAAATGATTTGAGTTAACTTGCTTGTATTACCCTTGTTTACACAATAAGACAAACGGAGAGTGAGAGCATGTTAGGGTGCTGTAGTGTAGGAAATTTGCAATGGGCTAAGACACGTGGAAGCTGAATTCAAGTTTAGGAGGAAGACGCAGTAACCTAATCCTGCACGTGGCTGTTCAGTAGTACCTCCCATTGAGTTCAGTGGGGCTTATTTCAGGATAAGTAGGTGTAGGGGTGCAGATCAAGAGCTAAAACTCTTCTGGATCTAAAGCTTTTATGCAGCTACTGCCTTTGTATCAGAATATGGAAATAGCTATTTGCTTTTATGATGGAGTATCTATTTATTTGTTTTTGGCCACCTTGCATATTTATAGTTAAAGAAAGATGAGGTATGTTGTTGTTTAGTCGTGTCCGACTCTTCGTGACCCCATGGACCAGAGCACACCAGGCACTTCTGTCTTCCACTGCCTCCCGCAGTTTAGTCAAACTCATGCTGGTAGCTTCGAGAACACTATCCAACCATCTTGTCCTCTGTCGTCCCCTTCTCCTTGTGCCCTCCATCTTTCCCAACATCAGGGTCTTTTCCAGGGAGTCTTCTCTTCCAAAGATGAGGTATAAATTTTGCTAATATATCAGTAAGTGAAAATTAAAAAGAATAGGTTTGTTTCCCGAAAGAAGAATTTGTGAAATCCTCTATGATCAAATGGGCACAAGATGTGGGTCATAATATTGATTTGAATCTGTGGGAACAATTGTGGAAAATAAACTTCAAATTCACTGCTGGTTTTTAAGGAGAACTCCTTAAAAATGATCCACAGGCGATACTTGACACCAAGCAAACTAGCCAAAAAGTCTAGATCCAAAAGTGACTTATGTTAGAAGTGCAAACAAACAACCAGCACATTTTACCATTCATGGTGGTCTTGTAGAATAATAAAAGAATTTTGGGAGATGGTGTATAATGAACTTAAAACATTTAGAAGAACATTTTCCCCAAACCCAGAAGCTTTCCTTCTGGGAATAATGACAACGGAAGACTCGTTGCAGCTTTCCCTAATCTGGCTCCTCCCAGATGCTTGGACTACAAATCTCACCATTCCTGAACATTGATCAGTGATAGGAGTTAAGAGTCCAACAGCATCTAGAGGGCCACAGCCTCTCCATCCCTGGTATACAGTCATATTTTTTTACTACACCCTAGAAGAGCAGAGTAAGAGCAAATGTCCTGCCATGTATTTTTCCTATAGTGTCTACGTGTCTGTCTGTCTGTCTGTCTGTCTGTGTCTCTCTCTCTCTCTCTCTCTCACACACACACACACACACACTCCTTGGTATCTGCTTTCATGCTGTGCTGTCATTTTGCCATTTTATCAGAGAACAAATCTACTTAGATACTTTGGTTCTCTGTTCCAGTCAGTGGTGTTTATTACAGGTTATCACGCTCCTTTTGTACACTTGAAAAGCAGTTAGCAGCCTCAAGTGTCTTCCTTAGAGCAGGAGCACCTGAGCCACTTGATTTTGCCCTTTGGAAATGATCTTACTCCTGTAAGAAGGAGGGAGAGTTTTATTTTGTAAAACTTCACTTGGGAAATTAATGAGAGGAAATATGTGAGTGAGGTTGAGCTGAAAGGTGAGCTGGTAACCTTGCGTTCCAGTCCCATTCTGTTTCCACTCTTTAATTCATGTTCGCCTCACGGTAACTCTCCAGCTCCACTGCTGCAATCTTCCTCCTCGTAATAGGAACTGTTATTTGCCTTTCATTAACACTGAGACAGATACAATGGCTGCAAATGAAAAGGCCTCCAAGAAGAGAAGGAGTCATCACTTAGCTGAACTGGCTGCCTGTTATAATTGCCCTTTCCCTCACCTCCCCCCTCCTCCATCGTGTCACTGTACCCCAGGAGCGTCTTAGTTACTTTTGAAAAACACTTGTATCTTCAGCTTCCCTGTTTGGAAGAAATGTTAGCAAACTTAAAGTGAAACTGTTCTATGGTGCTTGCCTATCCACCCTGATCAGCTCTTGATTTTGATGTGGCTTGCTTGCAGCATCTTAAATTATTTTTTAAATGGGAAACAAGAACAGTAAGACTGGACAGCTTGTACACTTTTTCTTTGACCCATTAGGGAACCCTTTTCTAAGATCCCAAGTGTTAGCAACTACACACAGAGAGAGACACACACACCCTTGGGTAGTTGGCTTAAGATTGAATTAACCCTTCAGTTGCACACGAATGACATTTGCTGCTGCACTTCCAAGAACGTAAGGAAAGCTTGCTGAATCAAACCAGTAGCCCACCTAGCCCAGCATCCTGATCTCACTATGGACATCCAGAGCCCTATGGGAAGCCAATAAACAGGACTTGAATACAACACCATTCTGCCCTCC